GAAGATGATGTACACCAGCAAAGACAAATGACAAGGCTCTTCTTCTTCGCCCAACAAACTCCTCCTTATCTCCCCCTTCTCTTATTCATACAAGAAATAAYAATAMAATGTTGAATGGCTGATCCAGAATCAAAGTCCGAGTTCCTCTTCTACTGCAGGTATCACTTGAGGTCCACCATAGCCATGGCCGCCTCTCCCACTCTTCACTCTCATAGGCCGAGGCTATGGCGGACTACTAGGCCTTGCCCAGATGCCCAAAGGACAACCCAAAGCAGCTATGGCTGCTCTAGCTCAGGCCGCCATGCCCAACCCTGCCTTGAAGCTTCTTGGTGTGGCTCCTCCCCAGTTGGGGACTCCCTGCGGCAGCGCCCACCAAGGTGATGAAGATGGCTGCCACCATAGCCAGGTAAGTGCCCCTGGCGCTCCTCCTCCTTCCTTCCTTCTTCCTCCCTTGTGTCCTTCTCCTTCCTCCCCAGCAGCGCTGCTCCAGCATAGCACTGCTCCAGCCAGTGCTCCACCAGTGTGTCGCCAAACTTGCACACCGAAAAAGAGGCCGGACTCTCCGCCCGACCCGAAGATATAGCGGCCTGCTTTGCCTCTTGGGCGGTGACTTCCAGGCCGCTTGGCCTCCCAAGCAACCGGTACCTCCAAACATCATTGCAGACTCTGATATTGCCCGTACAGGCCCTAGACTCAGACTGGTATCCGCCTAGACCTAGCCTACACTACTAGGCCTCTAAACTTCTGCTCGGCCTCCGGTACCTGCACATCTACCCCTTCCAGGTGCAGTACCGGCCTACCCGCTACTTGAGTGCTTTTCCCCGCTGCAACCCCTCAATGTCACGGCCACAGGTAAGTACCGGCCTTGAGGGCCCAACGGACGAGCAAGTGCCCTGACGGGCCACACACATACTCATGCCAACCAGCACTCAGACAGGCACGGTCACACACACACCCAAGCCAACCAACACTCAGACAGGCATGGTCACACACACACTCAAGCCAACCAGCACTCAGACAGACATGCAGTCCAGCAAGCGTGCACACACAGACTTAGTAGCAGGCGGGAAACTCAGCAAGGCATTCAGTCTGTGAGCAAAACTCGGAAATCAGCTGTGTGTTTCAGTCCATGTTTGGACGGGTCATCACAGCATGTGGGGGGGCCAAGGGGAGAAAAGAGGGCTGCGGGTGGAAAGAGCTTACTGGTTTGTGATGAAGCCGGCAGATTCTCAAGGGCCGAGGGCGAAGCTCGGGGCTTGCTTCAGTCTGGTCGCATCTTAGGTTAGTTTCATAATTTTGTTTGCTGCTGGATACTAACCGGGATATCAGCCTGTGAGGAAATTCGTGAGGGACATATCTGCAAACTAGGGGAAATTGTAGGCCCGCACTAACCGAATTCCCTACAGCTACCCTAACTGCGAATAGCAGGCCCAGGCTACCCCTAGGACAGACAGGTCCTAAAGACCTATGCTGATAGACGGTCCTATAGTGTTGCATA